TCATGCTCTTTCCCTCCCCTCTCCCCATTCTCTCTTCTGTATCTCTTGAGGCCGAGGAAACCCAGTTTCAACCATCTCTGGCAGCCATCTTGTATCATCTACAAGAGAAATCAGCTGAGTACAAAGCCTGACAACTGCAAGTGGGAGAGACAAAAAGAGCTATACTGTACTCATGGACTAGAAAAATCAGTGTTGTTAAAATACTACCCAAAGCAATCTAGTTTTCACAGAACTAGAGTAAATAATACTAAAGTGAGTATTGAATCACAAAAGACCCCCAATAACCAAAACAATCTTGAGAAAGAACAATATTGGAGATCCTACACTCCCTAATTCCAAAACTATTGTACTATATACTATAAAGCTATAGTAATCAAAACAGTATGGTACTGGCACACTAATTGACACATGGATCAATGGAACACCAAGCTTATATGGTCAATCACTCTATAAGAAAGGAGGCAAGAATATACAAGGGGGTAATGAGAGTCTCTGTCTCTTCAACAAATACCATTGAGAAAATTGGATAGCTACATGCAAAAGAATGAAACTGTAGACCACTTTTTATACCATACACAAAAATAAACTTAAAATGTATTAAAGACCTAAATGTAAGACCTGAAACCACAGACTCCTAAAAGAAAATAGGCAGTAAACTCCTGGACATCAGCCTTAGCAATTTTTTTTCTGGATATGGCTTCCCAGGTGAGAGAAACAAAAGCAAAAATAAACAAGTGGGAATACATCAAACTAAAAGTTTTCTGCACAGCAAAGGAAACCATCAACAGAACAAAAAGGCAACTTGCTGAATGGCTGAATATATTTGCAAATGATGTATCTGATAAGGAGTTAATATCCAAAATATACATAATACTATACAACTCAACACCAAAAAACCCTACATAATATGATTCAAAAATAGAAGACATGCAGATAGCCAACAGGTACATGAAAAGATGTTCACTGTCAGTCACCATCAGGGAAATGCAAATCAAAATCACAATTAGATATTACCTCACACTAGTTGGAATGGCTGGTATTAAAAAGACAAGAAATAACAAGTGCTGGTGAAAATGTGGAGAAAAGGGAACCCCTGTGCACTGTTTGTGGGAATATAAAATAGTGCCATCACTATGGAAAATAGTCTGGAGGGTCCTCAAAAAATTATAAATAAAAATAGCATACAACCCAGCAATTCTACTTCTGGGTATTTATTCAAAGAAAGCAAAACACAAATTCAAAAAAATATATGCACCCCTATGTTTATTGCAGCATATTTACAAGAGCCAAGACATGGGAGCAACCTCTGTGTCCATCAGTAGATGAATGGACAAAGAAGATGTGGTAATATATTCAATGGGATATTACTCAGCCATAAAAAAGAAGGAAATCTTGCCATTTGCAAAAACATTTTGAGCCTAAAAGGTATTATAAGTGGCATAAGTCACACAAAGACAAATACCATATAATTTCAATTATATGTGGAATTTAAAAAACAAATGAACAAATAAACAAATGAAACAAATACTCATGAATACAAAGAATAAACTGGTGAAGGGGAGCAAAATAGGTGAAGGAGATAAAGAGGTACAAACTTTCAATTATAAAATAGTTAAGTCATGGGGATGAAAAGTATAGCATAGAGAATATAGTTAATAGTACTGTAATAACTTTAAGAAAAGACGAAATAGGCCCCTGGTGGAAGCATTGGAGAGCTCTATCCAATGTACCTGGAACTTATGCTACTTTTGAATTTCTCTCTTGTGAGACAAATTTCCATTCTCTTTTCCTATTACTTGCAACCAAAAGCATCCTAACAAATGCAAACTCTAAGACCTGCACTTCTAAGTCAAACGCTTCCTGCAAGCTTCATCTAAGCCCTTAGCAGCTTTGTCACCTATTTCCAAATACTTCTGCATCTAGATATTTAGCTGTGGCCCCTTTGCATCTAGAAGCCTCTGAGAGACCATCTGAAGTGTTGAGCTAATCAAGCTCGGAGACTCTCTTAAGATGCTCTGACATGAGTGATATCATGGAAAGGAGCAAGGTGGGGGTTGGCATGGCAAGGATCAAATTGACGAAAGAAATTTGTTAGAGAAAGGAATCTGCATCTTCTGACTGGAGGTGTTATTTTTTTCCCCCTACACCATTGGTGTGGTAGGAAAAAAAGGTAAGTGTTTACTAAGACCACTAAAATCTAACACTGACTCAACCATTCATTAGCTGTGTGACCTCAAGCAAGTTTCTTAGGCTCAGTAAAACCTCTGTTTCCTCACCTGAAAGAGTAGGAGCAACAATCCTATTATTTCTAATCTTGTAAGGATTACAGGTAACAGAGAATCAATAGCTAGCTAAATCCAAAAATGGTAGCCATTATTCTGATCTTGGCTCTACACCCCTGTTGTCTAATACTCTCATGAACTCAACAAAGAATTACTGAGTGCCTACTGCATTGCTAGGTGTGGTCACAGGCACCAATGCTTGACAATACTTTCATTGCACTTCAATATCTTTTATAAGGAAAATATTCATTTTGTGTAGCAAACAACTATATACATCTGTGTATTTTTGAAGTTTTCCTTTCAAGACTAATACTCCTCCTTTTCCAGCCTTATTCTAACCTACTCAAATGTAATTTATCTCTAAAAGGTATAGAAGCCAGGACTTCTTTTTAAAAAAATCCTCTTGTTGTCTCCTTCCTATCCAAACTGCATGGTCTACTTTCTTAGGGAAAAGATACTCAAAAGACTAAAATGAGCATCAAGTATTCTATGTAGGAAGAATGAGGAAAAGTCTATTCCCTTCTCCCTTGTAAAAATATGACTTGAGATGGTCATCCAAATCAATTGTATTAAGATTAACTCTTATTCCATATGTGAGGAGCCAGTTTCCCCAAATGCTAAAAGGAGCCACACCTTCTGTCCTTCAGGTGCAGGTAGTGTAAGGAAGTTGGCGCATGCCTTTACACTTGGTGGGACCAGTAATGACCATGAAAGGGAAGAAAAACCTGTGAGGCAAGAATTCACAGGCATGGCTTGGTGGTTCCTGCCCACATGGACATTCATCTTTCAACTTCACAGAAAATGACATGATGGATGGAGGGAAGAATGGTTTATCTTAGAGCTGCAGCTTTAAAGGGGAGCAGTACCCCTGAGGCCATTGTGTTGGTGGAAGCAATAATCATTAAAGACATTTTCCAAGAGAGTGGGAATCTCTGAGTTTTAGGACCATTGAGTTTATTTGCCCCTCCCTACTTGGCCATTTTTCCTAATCCATTGACAGCCCTGGGATTCTTAGTGTTACTTTGTTAAAGTACTCTACAGGTCTCATTTACACTTGACCTCACAAGCGTTTTCCTCTTTTTCCTCCAACAGGACAACTCTCCTTTGGAGACTGATGGAAATTGATATCACCAGGAAAAGTGGTAATATAAAAAGCTACTACCACTTCCATTGTGTCTCCAATAAGGGCAAATGATACGTAAGTCTTACCTGCTCTAGGAGTTAAATGACTGACCAAGTATATCCAAACCAATTGTCAGCATCACAAAAAAACAGCCCACTTTGACTTTCTGAGGACTGTTAGTATCACTCTTTTTCTTAACTAAACATTCTCAGTCTTCCTGACAATTGATCAACTGGCTCCTTTATAGAATCATCAAAATAAAAAAAAAATTTTTTAACACACAAAATCAACAAAGCTCCTGTTTTCCCAGATGCCTAGAGATTAGGAAAGAGTATAATTTACGGTCCCTGACCCCATCAGAAGCAAGACATAAACCAGATAACAGAAGTTAAATAGAAATGCAAGAGAGGTGAGGCTGCAGGAGAGGATGGTTTTTACCTGACTATGGTGGAATGCAGGCTGTGAGACTCTTATTGGCTAGAGCGATTTGGGAGGGAGTTGTGGAAAAAACCTTGAGGAATGGGTAGGGCATTAAGAATGACAAATGAGAGAAAGGGCACTCTAGGCGGGAAAGAGGTGTCGACAAAGGCTCCGTGGTGAAGTCCCAGCTTTACTGGACCAAAGCAAGCCTACGTCAGTATGCTGGAGCCAGTTACCTGAGCTTTGTGTGTGAAATTCAGGTATTTAAGTTGTGTCTTGCAAGCACTGGGGAGACACTAAAGACTGTGAAGGTGAAGGTTATGAAGAATGTGGAATTTTATGTCTGTAAATCTGGCAAGTGTGGGAGGGAGGGATTAGTAGGGGGAAAGACAGGAAATGATGGCAGAGGCTGTAGGGTCCTAAATCAGGATCGTAGTGGTGGGGAGTGCAATGAGGGGGTCAGCAAGATGCTGACAATCAAGTATTTTCCCTGCGGAGACTCATTAAAGGTTCCATATTTCTTTACCACACTTCATAGAAAAATAATTACAGTATTGTGTTCAGCAAGTTCAAAATGCAGAACATGATAAGGTTCTGATTTTTTCAAACCTTTTGAGAAGTAATATTAAAAGCTCATGAATTATATATTCAGTATCAGCCAGCATCCATTCTCTTCATTGTATGTAATATGGATAAGTAAAATATGCATCCTATGTATGATTTGTGTATGTGTATCAATAATAATGTATAAAGAAAACATATCTACAATTTAATCAGGGTTCTGATTATAAACTGTGAATCAGTAAGATAATATGCTTGGAGTAAAATCTTCAGTATCACAAATCTCAACATGCAGATATCAGCCTTTAAATTAAATTTCCATGATCAAATCAGATCATAAACCGTCATAGCCTAATTCTCTCCTTTTGACTAAGAGAGTAACTACGGAGAAAGAAATGATTTCCCACCTCTCCTACTTGCTTTTCCCTTTACCCATCACTTGATTATAGCAAAAGTCATGTTGTGAGTTACATGGTTGCTGAACAAGACTTTTTTTTTTTATTAAGTTATCATTGATATACAACCTTATGAAGATTTCACATGAACAACATTGTGGTTACAACATTCACCCATATTATCAAGTCCACTGCCCCACACCCCATTGTAGTCACTGTCCACCAGTGTAGTAAGATGCTATAAAGTCACTACTTGTCTTCTCTGTGCTGTACTGCCTTCCCCATGACACCCCTACATTATGTGTGCTAATCATAATGCTCCTCAATCCCCTTCTCCCTCCCTCCCCACCTGCCCTCCTCTCCCTCTTCCCTTTGGTAACCACTAGTCCCTTCTTGGAGTCTTTGAGTCTGCTGTTGTTTCGTTCCTTCAGTTTAGCTTTGTTCTTATACTCCACAGATGAGTGAAATCATTTGGCACGTCTTTCTCTGCCTGGCTTATTTCACTGAGCATAATACCCTCTAGCTCCATCCATGTTGTTGCAAATGGTAGGGTTTGGTTTCTTCTTATGGCTGAATAATATTCCATTGTGTATATGTACCACATCCTCTTTATCCATTCATCTACTGATGGACACTTAGGTTGCTTCCATTTCTTAGCTATTGTGAATAGTGCTGCGATAAACATAGGGGTGCATCTGTCTTTTTGAAACTGGGCTGCTGCGTTCTTTGGGTAAATTCCTAGGACTGGAATTCCCAGGTCAAATGGTATTTCTATTTTGAGTTTTTTGAGGAACCTCCATACTGCTTTCCACAGTGGTTGAACTAATTTACATTCCCACCAGCAGTGTAGGAGGATGCCACTTTCTCCACATCCTCGCCAACATCTGTTGTTGTTTGTCTTTTGGATCATGGTGATCCTTACTGGTGTGAGGTGATATCTCATTGTGGTTTTAATTTGCATTTCTCTGAAGACTAGTGATGTGGAGCATCTTTCCATGTGTCTGTTGGCCATCTGAATTTCTTCTTTGGAGAACTGTCTGTCAGCTCCTCTGACCATTTTTTATTTGGATTATTTGCTTTTTGTTTGTTGAGGTGCATGAGCTCTTTATGTATTTTGGGTGTCAACCCTTTATCAGATTTGTCATTTATGAATATATTCTCCCATGCTGTAGGATGCCTTTTTGTTCTATTGGTGGTGTCCTTTGCTGTACAGAAGCTTTTCAGTTTGATGTAGTCCAATTTTGAACAAGACTTTCTTAATCTTTCACTTATTCTCATACATATAAATTAGAATGAGGTGAAAGGCATCTCAAAAGATAGCATTACTAACTGCCAACTTTGCCAGCCCACTTGTTGCATGCTCTGCTCTATGCCCTGATTGGGATCACAAACCCAAAGAAATATGGAAAGAATCATCAAACCTGACAGGTGGGGATAGAGAATTAGGAGGGACTGTCCTTCCTTCCTCTGTCACTCCCCTCAACATCACTCCCTATGAGCTGAGCTTCCTCCATCTGTAGGGAAAATTCATTTCAAACCTTAAAATTTTGTTTTTTTTTTAGCTGAGATCCCATGTTTAAGTGTTAGGGCTCAAAAATACTTCATAGTTAGGGAAATTATTAAACCATTAGCTTCTTTAAGGCAGATATCATGTTTTGTTCATTTAAAAATCATTTGTCTTTGCACTGTCCCCACAATGCCTACCTAAGAGCCTGGCAAATAGCAGATACTCAATTACTATTTATTTACTTGTCTGTTGAGTCATATGTTCTTAAAGATATAGATTGAAAAAATATAAACCAGGAGAATTAATTGGGAGCCAGGATAGTTTTAATTAATTATACCTTTAGCTTTCAGGTTTAACCACAGTAAGGGTCCTTGGAAGAGAGCACTGGGCCATGTGTTTTAAGTACTGGCTGATGTTGATATAGCCTTATATCTATTAAAACACAGATTGTTGGACCAGACAAAATGCAACAGAAGGTGAGTCTTTTATTGAATGGCCTTCAGCTGGTTAATTTTGTTTGCAGATGGCAGATACTGAAGTTACAGAAAAGCTGCTCTTGTTGTTCAAAGTGCCTTTTCAATTTTTAATTTGACATGGAAAGTTACATGGTCTACAATACGTGCAGACCAGCCGTTATCTCTCATCATCAACTTCTTTGGTTGGTTTCTTGACTGAAAGCAGCTCTATTGTAGGTACTTTTTCTGGCTCCAGCTTACATGTGTGGTTCAGTGACAAGATTCCTGATAAACTGGAACAGAGAACAAGGAAACAGGCTTTTAAATGATCAAGTGATCATTCGCTTCCTTAGGTATAGTTTCTGCCTGACAGACCTATTACAGAAAAGAGTCACACAAAGACTCCCAGGTTCTGGGCAGATGAGAATCACAGACTTTTAGAGCCGGAAGGCATTTAGAGGTCATCTCATCCAGCTTCGCCATTTTAATGTAAGAAGCAGGTGCCCAGAGGATTAAATGACTCACCCAAGGTTGTGCAGCTCACATCAGAGTCAGGATTGGAATTCAGCTTGTTCAGAGCTCTTACATTGGCAGTTTTTTTGCTGATTGATGTTAGGGAAACCTAGAAAGAAAAAAAGGAAAAAACAGAGATACCCTAATTTTTCATGGTTTTTTTCCAAGAATACCATTCTGTGGGGAATTATTATGTTTCTAGGTTTCCTTAGCTAGGCCACTACTTTCTACGTGTGGGGTCTTGGAAAAAATGCTGTGAGTTGGTGAGTTGGTGAGTTTGGACTTGAGCTTGAGTTCAGTATATAACTATCACTGTAATTTACTGATCATATGCTACATATTGTGCATATATTATTATCGTCACAATGAATCTGGAAGGAAATAGTGTTAGCCCTTTTCTTTAGTTGGAGAAGCTAAGGCTTATTGAGGTTAAACCTCTTTTCCAGTGCCATGCAGGTATTCAAAATCAATATCTGACTGATTCCCAATTTCCATCCTTCCCCTATATCACACTGCACTTACTGTGTGTCTTCAGGCAAGTTACTAGTTTCCTTAACTGTCAAAGGGATACATTAATATACTTCCTAGCATTAATATAGGATGAAATGAGAAATGATGTATCTAGAATACCTGGCTTTGGACATGACACAGAAAACACTCAGCAAAAGTCAGCTCCATTCTACGCCTATATCCCTCTCCTTTTTAAAATTTTCAGGAGGATTTACACCCTGAACTACATTGACTCATGTTGAAAAGAGAAAACAGAAACACTTCCAAAGTGTCAGACAAGATCAGAAGTGGATTAAGTATTCCAGATGATATCCCAAACTATCAGAATAACCTAATGGCAAAATTTTAAACTGTGGAGAGTTGAGCTTCAACTCTCCTCCCTGTGAGTGAAATAAGTGAACCAGTCAATCAGAGAAAAGCACCAACGTGAATTCAGCTTCCTAAGTTTAAAATGCAGGCAGGGTTTCCAGAAAAATGTTCAATACTCAGGTAAAATGTTAGACAGTGGATTTTTTTCTATGTCCCTTTCATTGATCAGAGCTTGTATAATCTATATGAAGTGAAAAGACATAGGTATATTCATTTAATAATTCCAAGTGGGCATCAGAAATTGTTTGACCATTTCATAACCCTGTACATTCTTTTGTACTATACTTCTGAAATTATAGTCCAAGTATAAATGTGATTGAATTTACAAAAATTCAATTTGCATGC